ATAGTCTTCCTTAGTTTAAGCTCATCAAATCCTTTTAATCTATTCCAAAGTATGAAAAATGAATTCTTTTCCATCATCATGAGGAACAGGAATCAGAAACAAGTTACCTCTTGCTTGGAGAACCCCACATGAACAACTTTGGATTATTATTATTGAAGATATCTGGGCTTTATCTGTATATTGATCACTCATCTATAAACCACACATGGTTCATTTTTCCTCACCTGGATTGCAGAAAAAACACGGGATAAAGAGACTCCTAAACCTAGTTCTGCCACTAATTTGATGTGCCACAGGATTTCCGTTGTTTCCACCTGATCGGCAACAAAATAAAGGCACTCACCATGTGGTCTCTGGGCTCTCTTTCACTCTCAGCCTCCTACAGTGTGTAATGCCTGAGTCTGAGCCTTGCCCTGTACTACTCAGAGCTGTGCAGGAACTACCACGGCCCTCACGTGAATCTCCCAGAATATGTGCGTCCACATTTCTGAGCACGTTTCACTCCATGAACTCAGCTTTGAACAGCCTCCTTCTTATCACCTCTACCTTTTGAAATGTGACTCATTCTTAAAGGTCTAGCTCAAAGTCCAATAGTTCCCTGAAGTCTTCCTAATCCCTAAACTGGAAACTGACCATTCTTGTCCATAAACATCCAAATGGTTTGTTCACATATTTTAAAATACCTGTTATGTATCATCTTACTATTTACGGATACACTTTATTTCTTCTATTAAACTGTAAACACCTCAAAGGGAGAAAAGGCTTATTTGTCTGACAACACATGGCCATTCCCACTCTCCATACCAGTCCAGTCCCTGTTTTCAACAATCCCCACCCCAGTCTGCCTAGTCTAAGAAAGTGTCTGTACTTCTCTTCTTCCTTTACTCCTGAGTGGCTTTGACACCTGCATGGCTTTGACCCAGGGTTAAACCTCACCACTTCCAGGACCCAAGGAGGGACCACACAAAGGGTAAAACCACAACTTGGGCAATTTAGAAGATCCATTTGTTGGTGGTAATCACAAGAGCCATTAGGACAATCTAGGGGCCATGGATAGGGTGAACATACAAGTAATTATCTAAACAGGAATACTTTTTTTTTTTTTTTTGGAAGATTTTTTGTTTATTTGAGAGAGAGAGAGAGCAAGCGAGCACAAGCAGGGGGAAGAGCAAAGGAAGAGGGAGAAGCAGACTCCTCGCTGATCAGGGAGCCCAATGCAGGGCTCGATCCCAGAACTCTGGGATCATGACCTAAGCCAAAGGCAGACCCTTAACTGACTGAACCACCCCCAAACAGGGATACTTCTAAGAGTTAAAGGGAGAACAATTAATAATTAGTCTGGGGCAAGAGGTATATCAGCAGGAAGACCAGGAGGTGTGACCACCCTGGACATGGTCATCCTTTTCTAGCCTCCAGAATGGCTTACAAGTTGTTCACATTTCCATGGTCAACCTTCTCTGCATTCTCCTTTTTCTCAAAGAAAATGGCATATTTCTGATACACTGGCCTATTAATAAGAGTTTAGACAATGAAAAGTAATCACAATCGTGACAGCATAAATACATATCTGCACACTCTTATTTTTTTTTTTAAGATTTTTTTATTTATTCATTTGAGACACAGAGATACAGAGAGAGAGAGAGAGAGAGGGAGAGAGCATGAGCAGGGAGAGAGGCAGAGGGAGAGGGAGAAGCAGGCTCCCCGCTGAGCAGGAAGCCCGATGCGGGGCTTGATCCCAGGATGCTGGGATCATGACCTGAGCCGAAGGCAGACGCTTAACCATCTGAGCCACCCAGGCGCCCCCATATCTGCACACTCTTAGGAGATGCCATGTATGGCCCTGGCCTCCCTAGAGGGCAAGCTTCAGCAGTGTAGACTGGCAATGACACAGGAGCTCTGGAGGGGATTTCTCGTACCACTCTTACTTATCATTTGGAGCCTTCATATTAGAAATGGGAAGTCAACAAAATGAAATAAGATCTTATTTCCAAGGTTAATTTTGGGTAAAGCTCAACATAACATTACAAAAATAAAGAGCTATATTTAAAGTTACAGACTGTCCAGGACCTTAATATACTTCCCATCAATACTCCTTTAGCTAGCTTTAATAAATTAATGGTCACAGGTAAGAAACCATTAAGTTACTAAAAAAAAAAAAAAAAAAAGACTATAAAATATAAATATTACAAGAGTTATTGCTGTAGAAATATTAGTTTTTAAAATTCAAATTATAATAATTTGAAATTAATTTTAAATATTTTATAGCTTAGTTTTTCAGAGGAAGTTAAAACAGAACAAATCAATAGAGCCAGGGGTATAATGCAGCACAGCTATGTCAATTAAACATTATGTAAGAGTAAATTTCACAATTTAAAAAATTTGAACACGCTAAAACATTCTGTCTGATCATTTCTGCAGCGACACAACTCTCCAGTTATGTGTAAACAAAAGTTGCGTAATAAGAGTTATCATTTAGCAGCCCAGGAAGAGCAAGGGAGCAGGGAACTAAGGAGCACTGAGGGATTTCTGTGCCAAATACTGGGATGGGTGCTGGGAGGTTGCTGGCGTCCAGAGCCTCTGTGCTATGAGCCCTGAGAACCTCCTGCTTGGGGTCGGCAATCAGCCGCTGGACTAGGTCCTGGGTCATCACCCCTGTCCGGTACCCCCTGTTACCACCCACGTGGGGTGCCGCCACCCTACTCTCAGGAAGTTCCTGGTAAAAAGGTTACCGTGAGGGGCGCCTGGGTGGCTCAGTTGGTTAAGCGACTGCCTTCGGCTCAGGTCATGATCCTGGAGTCCCAGGATCGAGTCCCGCATCGGGCTCCCTGCTCAGCGGGGGGTCTGCTTCTCCCTCTGACCCTCCCCCCTCTCATGCTCTCTCTATCTCATTCTCTCTCTCAAATAAATAAATAAAATCTTAAAAAAAAAAAAAAAAAAAAAGGTTACCGTGAGGAAATGTCACCGTGGGACTGCTGCAGAAATCCGTGAAGCACCAAGGGTCTAAGTCATCTTAGATTTTGGTGAACAAAAGAGGTCTACAAGCTGTCTAAGGATTTTATGTGTGGCTTAAGCTTAAGAAGCATTTACACACATCAGCTGCCTCTTTTGGCTTCTTCTCACAAAACAGGAGGAGATGGGAACTAACTAGGTGGCCTCGGTCACAGTGTGAAAGAGTTCTTCAAGCTTTCCCATTTTTACCTCTTCCCCTCTCTTTCCACTTTTCGCTACAAAGGAGCACAGCATAAGCGTTCTGTGTTTTGCTCCCCAGCTGCCTCCGTTACCTTCCAGTGGACTGGATGGCTCTCTGAGGACAAGGGCAATTCCAGTTCATTCTTGCAGCCCTTGCAGCCCCCAGCACAGTTCCCTCCCCAGCGTTTAGAAGCACTTGCCCCTGGCCCTCCCTCTTTCTTCAGGTTGACTGCCACTCTCCGTGGTTTGCCCGCAGAGCCCACTGTTTGGTCCTTTAGATTGCTCATGCTACCATGAATTCTAAGCTAGAAATAGTAGGAGCTAACACGTATCTGCTAAAATGTGTGGCTACTGCAGAGGAATCTAGGAAAAAGGTAATGAAGCAATAAGCTGTTTAAAATACTGCATTCTACTGACTTGTACTTCCAGATCTTATTTGCCTGAAGACTTGAGCAAGTAAGATCAAGAAGTGAAGAAGACCAAGAACAAAAGGTATTTAGAACTTTTGTTCTTGGAAACAGTACCCCTTGGTGAAGTCAATTTGTGAAACAGGGCATTCTCTATCTATTGCCCTCTTGGGAACTCAGTGTGTCAGCAAAGAAAAGGCCCTAAGATGTCCCGCAGTAAAGACATATGATTAGTTTTGTTCAATAGTATTTCCCCAAATTGCTTTACCACGGAGCCCTTGCTCCCACGTGACATTTACTAATATCCTAAGAAACCAAGTTTCCTCTGAACACACTGTGGGAAATGCTGGCCTAATCTGTTTTGTCTTTCCTTTGAATCATATAAACCCCTCTGAATTAAAGCTTTCAGATCAACTTCCTGAAGAGTCAAAAATATTTCTGCTAAGGCTTATGATGCCGATCCCATTCTGTCTTTAACCACAGTGGCCATATCAGACAAAGCCTGATGTTTTGTGGTTCATCACGTTCATCACATGCACGGCTCATGCATTTTGTGTAGAGAAGGTGGTGGATGCAGCCTCTTAACTCTGAGCACCCTGAGGAGCAAAGGCTGATAGCCTGGCCTGTCTGGGAGAGGAGTGTCCAACACCAGCCTTAAACCTCGCAGGCTAGAGAGCAACGGTCAGCACTCGTGAGTGCTGACAGCCTCAGTGACATCGTGGGCTCGAAACAGTGCTATTTGCCCACGAATTCTCCCTTAGAGCTATGATAAGTCAAAAAGTACAATAAGACCAGGATATGATTCACAAAAATGCAAGATATATGTAAGCACAAAAATGTAATATTCTAGGTATCCTGAGGACACCTCATTAACGTTAAGTTGCTTACAAATTATAGGTATCTCAGAGCAGCTGCTGTAAGGAAGGAAAGCATTACACATTATAATCATGGGATGGAAGCAATTGCCCCTAATGGTGCTGAAAATTTATGTTAGAAAAAATTAAATTTCTTACTTTTACCAGTCTGAAAAAGTGAAAACAAAATAAAAATGAGCAAATCAAAGGCTGGTTCCAGAGAAAGATAAAAAAAAAGTCCTTTGCCATGTATGTGTGGAAAATAGCATATGCTTTAGAAATCAATTCGGATATATTCTTGAAAAGCTAACTACCATTTAATCCGACTGAGGCAAGTGTTTCTGAACCCTGCTTTCTAAAACAAGGACAATAAAACACTGAGCTCTTTCAAATACAGCAAAGTCTGAGGAATCATTTTTCCACCATAGGTAAATGAAGCATGAAATAGGAAAGCACACCCTAGCAAGAGCACCTGAGTATGTATGTCTGGTGTATTGTCTTAAGATAGCTCTCTCACCCAGCCTCCACAAAAGTACAAAGAACAACTCACCATGTCGTAAGTTGTTACAATCTTCTTTAGAACCTCAGGCACAATTCCCTGCAACTCCATCGTGGGATACTGCTCGCTCAGATTCAGGACCACCAGGGGCGTGTTATCAGGTCCCAGGAAGCGGGGAGACACCGCCAACATGCACTGCATGAGATTGGCCACAGAGGAGAGGCCACACAGCTCCTTGAATGACACCACGGCATTCTGTTAAGTGGAAAGAAAGGAGGCGCTTTGTAATTAACCGGAGGCTTTAATTTCTCGTGGATATTCTATTTGATATACTTGATTATACTTGAACTGCCTGGTTCAGTAACAACCGTTATTAGCAATGTCATGACAGAATTAACTATTTCATGCCAGGAAAAATGGCTATTTTCCAAAATAAATACAGTTACAGACATTTTCAATACCAATTTATCAAAAGTACAGAAAATGCGAGTAAGTAAAATTCATCTGAAGGGTAAAGCCTCTTTTCAGATCAGAGTTCACAGTGGTGCTAAGGCTGATATGCAATCATGAGCAAACAAAAAGAATGGCTTCTGCATTCAAAAAAGGTAAAGGAAAAAAATCAAATCAGGTTTAAAGTAATTATCAAATATGCCAGCCATCCAAAAAGGAAAGGAGTATTTTTGAGGGAGAAACTTGAATGTCTCTCATCTATTTACACTGGTTCCAAATCAAATGGATTTTTTTTGGGGGGGGGGGTGTTAAACAACAAATTTATTGTCTCAGTTATGGAGGCTAGAAGCCCAAGATCACAGTTTTGATATGTTTTGTTCCTCTGAGGGCATGAGAGAGGGAGTGCTCCATCTCTCTTTCTTAGCTTTGGAAGTCATGTGAAGGCAAAGATCTACCAGCCAAAGATCTACCAGCCAATCTACCAAAGATTGTCAGCAAACCACCAGAAAATCTAAAGGAATTTTGAGGACAAAGCAGTTTGCTTGAGAGGTCTGCCCAGTAGGAGACCCTGCCCTATTAGTGTATCCACTGATTGTAACGTTTCTCCCCTACCACCCCTCTCTCTCTTTTCTCATCACCAGAGCTATGCCATTAAAATATCCGGTAAGGAAAACCCCTTGACACTGTCAAATGTCACTGCTGGCATTCTTGGAGCACTTACCAAGTGCTAAGCGAGTAGGACTACTTAGTACCCATTACCTCGCTTAATCCTCTCAACCAGCCACGCTGTGGGTGAGGGAGCGGAGTCTCGGCTATAACCTCTCTCTATTACTTCTCTAAGGTCACACAGCTGGTGAGTGAAGGAGTCAAGATTTTACCTGAAATCTGTTGATGCTGAAGCTTATGCTTTTAATTACCGTGCTATAACAACCGGTAAGTTCTAACCAAAATGGGAGTTATTCCAGGTGCCCTTGGGTCCTGATCTGGGCTGAGCTTGGGGGCCAGAGGGGAGGAATCCAGGCCTTCCAAGTCCTGTGTCTTCTGCTCTCAGATACCCCAGTCTGAAAAATGAGCAGCACTTTGGTTTTCTTAAACACTTTATTTTTATTAGTATCTCTGTAAACGTGGACATCATACTCTGCGTCATTCTGCTCAAAATGACTTGGATGTTGACTGGTCATGACAACAAACCATGACAGTGGGGTCTAGGGTGGGGTCTCCCAATCACTCCACCCCACCTCCCTATTTTCTTCACAGCTCTTGCTTGTGTCTGCGACTGTCCTGTTTGCTCATTCACCTGCTCATGGTCTCTTCCCCTCCCCGCCGCCCACGCCCAACTGAAGGCACAGCTCGTTCATGGCTGCGTCCTTGTGGCCCAGACTGCCTGCTCGTGACAGGTGCTCGTTAACCCCCATCACTGACTGCTCTGCCGGGTGCAGCGCACACACGCAGCGCTGGAGACAGCATGCTCCAGCCCCAGAGGACCGCCGCGGGAATGCTGTGGCAGCCCTGGGGCAGGCGACGGCGTGCCTTGCTCGGAGCTGAGGGTGTCCCAAGCCATTCTCGCCCTCGGAAACGGGGAAGAGCTCTTGAGGTTCCTGTTATGCCTTGACTTGGAGAGAAAGAGAATAAAATTCCTCTACTGTGGCAAGGTCTTTTTATGAATGAGGTATCTATAAAATCTGTACGGGGTTGAAATCTGCTGAATATTCTGAGTCAGATTTTACTTGCTGGTGGCATTCTTCTCTTAATAGTTATTTATAGATATATAACCAAATAATATATTTAATATATGTGTTTTAATAAACACACGCCGAGCAGCTACCACAGACACGGCAGGCACTCTCACACGGTGGGCCAGGGTAGCGCCGGAAGCTCTCTAAATTCAGTTTAGAGGTAATTATTATCTTAGACTTCTAATAAATACAGACACCACATGTCTTTTACTTAAACACTTGAATAGCCATCCTCCAAAATCAAGAGGCATCTCAAAACACAAACATACTGGCTCATTTAAGTGCTTGCTATTTTCCTAGCACTACAGCTCCAGAAGAAAGGGTTGGAACATGTGCCTTTTACTTCGGTAGGTCATCAAAGTGGGTTCTAGCGGAAGAATATTCCAGAAAACCAGAGATTCCCATGTACACTCTTAGGAAACAATGGGGATCTGTGAGGCAGACAAGGACTAGGATGTGGTTATGTAAGACAGCAACAAAACTGGTTTATTCTAACGCATTATCAATATTTTCGATACCAACTGCAGTTCTGGAAATGTGAATGATAAAAAAGAATGAACCTAGTGGTAAATGTTCTCATAACAAATTGGAATTTACAAATTACTGAAAACCAAACATACTGTTGTAAAACCTAAAGCCTTCCAAAGTATTCATAGATGGTGCACAGGGTGCACTGTGAAGAAAAGCCGCTGAGTAAATGCTTAAACACAAGAACGTACCTGCATGTTCTCTCTCAGATCCGTGGCATCCCGGATCGGGGGCTGGGCATTCTTGAACACCTCATCCACAGTTTTAATCCACAGTGTTCTTAAAGACGCATATTCCCTGGATTTCTTCCCTTTTCTCACAGAAAGGCCCCTTTTATGAGGTTTCCCTCCTCCTCTTCGGTTAGTAATAGCCACGTGGACGAACAAAGAAGCGTGCGCTAGGACCTCTCCAGTCAATGACTGCAGGGGCACGTGGCGGTAGCCTGTCTGTAAACATTCAAAGGGAATTGTGTACTGGCCAATGAATTCGTCCCCAATGTAGTCATCATCTAGGACTACAAAGCGCACCATGGCCAGTTCAGGTAGGTTGATTTGAAATTCGAAGCTTTCATCAAAAATGGGAGCATCTCCATTCTGGTGCACTGTTTTTGTCCTTTGTTCCGCACAGTCGGCAGGGATTCCGTGAATCTCCACGTAGACGTAAGGATCCACCACATCTCCTTTGGCACCTGACCCTTTGGGTTTGGGAAAGTTCTGCCCACTGATGATTTTAATGTGAAGAAGCTGCGGTGAGACTCCTGGGACGGAGTCTTTCGTGTTGGCACTGAAGAAAGAAACCTCCTCCCTCATGATGGCTGGCCGAAGGACGTAGCCGCAGTTTCCGTTCTGCCGAAACCAGCCAATGTTCAGGTCCATCATCAGGCCTGGGGTCTGAAAGTTCATGGCTACAATCTGACAACCACACTTCCAAAAATCTTGAGGGTTCATGTTACTGGAGTCGATTCGCATTGGGCTGGGGAAAACCCTAGCGAGAAAACGTTTGTTGTAATTTACAAAGTCCCCTGGATTTTCATTGGCGTATTTGCTGGCAAGCACTTCGTTAAACGAACAGACTTCCCAGTACTTCTGAACCTGAAATGATACCTGAAATTCTTTGAACTGAACGGACTTACAGATGCTCACCAGTTCAGACAGTTCTTTACAGAGCTGAAATCGCTTCAAGGGCACGTTGTTGGGCTGCTCGACGTTCTCTTTGCCCATCCTCTGAGACATTTCTGCCCCTTCATCTTCGTCAGTAACATCCCCTTCTACACCAGAGCAATTTGAGGACAGCTTCTTTGCTTTAATTAGTATCCTCCCTTTCAGGACATCTGGGGATGGTAGGTAAGATTCCTCCACATTGGGCGATGTTGTATAGAGCTTGTCCCCTAAAATTTTCTTCATGTGCTGAACCATTACCTTTTGCTGTTTAATAGAACAGTGATTTTCTAAACACAAGATAAGAGGATACTCTGAAGCAAAGAATGCATACTTGTTAATAATATCAATGACACTGCGGAAGACTATCTGAGAGGTCATGGTGTGGCCCGTGTAAATTACAGGTTCATTATCTGGCCCATCCCATACATCTAATTCAACACTCCGGCAACCCATTTTAAGAGCTCGGATGTATCCTGTGATGTCAGAGGGACCTCGGAACTGATCCTCTATTAAGTATGTATTATGAGATGAGTTTATAAAGTAATGAGACAAAGGTTGCTTCATATCTTGACAGACCTTCTTATGTTCCGGATCAAATATATAACAGTCAGGGGACATAAGGTACTTAGTGAACCCATCTATGGAAAGCCAGCCCTTTTCCTGGCCTTCTTTGGATGGCTCATATTTGTTAATAATTTCAAGGCTGATTTCCTCGTTTATATGTGCCACACCCTGCTCTGCCTCAAGAAACATCATAAGGTCCTTGGTATCAAGAAATTCCTTATTGCTTGAAAACTGAACTAAAAGGAAATAAATTTCAGGTCTGGTACAAAGCTCATGGAAAACCTCAACAAATTCTTCCTTTGTGACTTCAGTACCAGCTTTGTCCTTGGATTTGTGCAATTCTTTGAACTTAAGCTCAATTTTGCTAGTTTTTAAACCAGGATTGAGGTCTCTGATACACTGCACAGCATTACACAGAGTTATATGTCCAAGGTTATCTACATCAATTTCACCAAACATTTGTGAAACCCAAGAAGTCCTCATATTGTCTTGGCTACTTTCTAACATATCAAGGGTATGTTTTCCATAAGAAATTAGGTACCGCAGTCCCGTAACCCAGATGTTCGCAACATCTGCAGAGTTGGCAACCAAATCAAGTGACTCATAATTCTCTCCATAAATGACTGAAAATGCACAATCTTCAGATATCTGGTCAGAAATGCCATTGCTGCGGAATATGTCTGTATTTTTTCCTGTTCTCACTTCCTTGATGGATTTAATATCAATCTTGGCTTTCTCAGAATCCTTCTTAGATGGTTCCCACCTCAGGCTCTGCATGTCAGCATCCAGTAAAAAATACCTATGGTAAATCCTGGAGTTGGAGCGAACCTTTTTGAGTTCTGAACCCTCGACCATTGAATTGATGCAATCGCTTGCGCTGCTGATCTTCTTCTCTGTCGGCATGCTACTGAACGAGACAGTCTTCTTCCTTTCTCTTTTCTGTTTTGTACCATCCTGGAAGAAAAAAAAAAAAACAAAACAGTGTACAAGAATAACATAAACATGGGTTTCTGTTTTCAAGATTAGGAATAAAAATTTAATTTCTTCAAAAAAATCACACTGTTAGGATCTCCTATTGAATGTTCTATGATAAATGATACTCAGCCACTTCTAGAACTTAGAAGTGGCCCTGGAGTTTGCAGCCTAATATAAACAGGTAAAAAATCATTATTGAATAATTGCAATCCATAGGTGTCAAGAAACACAATTTCAGTAATACACAATAAAATCCTGTACAGAGAATGGACTACTTAATTCGCAGGGCTCAGGGAAAAATCAAAGAGCAGGACTCCTCGTTCAGAAATTGTTAAGGATTTTAGGGGCTCCTGGGTGGCTCAGTCAGTTAAGTGTCTGACTCTTGATTTTAGCTCAGGTCATGATCTCAAGGGCTGTGAGAGGAAGCCCCCATCAGGCTCCATACTGAGTGTGTGGAGCCTGCTTAAGATTCTCTTTCCTTCTCCCTCTGCCCCTCTCCACTCTCTGTCTCTCTCAAAAAAAAAAAAAAAAAAAAAAATCGTTAAGAATTTTAAGATGACCAAAGAGTATTAAGTCAAGTGCAGCGCCCTTCTGAGTGTGGGGCCTGCCCAGCTGCACAAGTCATACACCCATGAAGAAGGCTCTGCATCTGAATGCATCTCCCACACCAGTGTTCCTCAAAGGCCTGTCACCACACCACTTGCCTCAGAACCACCTGGCTTACCTGATTAAAATGCTTGGACTCACTAAGATGTCTGGGCTATTTCTGGAAACGCCAAAAGACCAGAAACAGCTAAGTACTGACCACTAAACCATGTGTTAAATGAGTAGACACTGAAATTCCAGCAGAAATTCCTGGCTCTTCAGAGTCTCAGATTAGTCCTGGTTCTTAAGACTTCGGACACATTCGGTTTGAGGGCTGTAGTTGTGCTGAGTCTGGGTGGGAGGACAGCAGCGGGTGCTTCTAACACCCTAGAGCTGGATTTACTAAAGCCTACTGCCATGCACCAGGCTAGTGCTTAGGACAGTGTCACCTAAGTACTTCCAGTGTCATCAGATTATTGACACCATCAAGGGAAACACTCTCAGCAGCATCTATTCCTAAAGAATCTGCGTCACCAACGACACAGCCCTCAACTTCCCTGCACAGTGTCACCGGTGCCCACCTTAAGATGCTGATGCCACAGCTATGTGTGTATTGGAGTTCCTTCCCTATACAGACACCTTTTTTTTTTTTTAATGCTCACATGACCTCAAAGCATCTTGCGCAATCTTCACCTAAAACGTGATATTGCCTTTCAGGAAGTATATGAAATGTTTGATAAATCTTCAGTAAGTCATTATATTCATATGCAGGGAATAGACATGGAGGTTGAGATTATATAACTTTTGTGGCAATGAAGAGAAGAGCATGAAGAATATTATACAAAGGCAATTCTAACTTTTCTGCTCTGGAGAGAATCTATTTTGAATAAAATCTCTACATTTTAGGGGCGCCTGGGTGGCTCAGTCGTTAAGCATCTGCCTTCGGCTCAGGTCATGGTCCCGGGGGCCTGGGATGGAGCCCCACATCGGGCTCCCTGCTCCATGGGAAGCCTGCTTCTCCCTCTCCCACTCCCCCTGCTTGTGTTGCCTCTCTCGCCGTGTCTCTCTCTGTCAAATAAATAAAATCTCAAAAAAAAAAAAAAAAATCTCCACATATTAGAAAGTGATTACGCTATTCTCTGCATCTGACATTTAAAACCACTCTTACTCTTTGACTACCCATACTTCCAAAAGCAATATGCAGGAGGTAATTAAACTTAAAACTTTAAATCATATGGGTATCATTTCCCTCAAAGTTTCCAAATGAAGCAGAGAGGCCTTTGTGATCTAAATGCCAAGATACAACATAAAAGCCACAAGGCGGAGTATTTCTTTGCAACTGAATCCTCAGAACAATAAAGTTCAAAAGACATAAAAACTTTGGCAATTGTATCCATAAGATGAATTGCATCATAGTTCTTCCAAATCCCTAAAGCATAGACTGTGTTCTATCTATTTAAGAGAGTTGGCATGAAATTAAATTTGTAATCAGCCATGCATAAGGGCCTGAAACAGATGTATAAATTTCCTATTTTTCAGAATGAAGGTTGCCTTTACCTTTAAAAACACACAAGTACCTTTAGTAAAGACAACATACTAATTAAGGGAATTTTATAATCGTTATAAATTATATCTCTAAGGTGCCACTAGTAAAAAGAAGTCACAAAGATAAATGGAGGTGCTTAGCCATTTATCCATTAAAAATATATATAGCATTTCCTCAACACTGTAATCTTCTATTCTGTCAGTCTTAACATACTGATTAATACTCAACTACTACTTTCTAATTTATTACAATTGATACATTTCAGATTCATAGGTCTCTGTTATTAAGAAGAAAAAGCCAAATCATAAAGCACGATAATAACATACTTAAGTGCTCACACACCCTCATCTGTGGGACAGGCAGGAGCTTAAACACCACACTTGAGGCTTTCAAAACATTGCCTTGCTTATCACAAGCCAGCCAGGTTTTGATTGGTGAGTTCTGATCATTCATTGCAGATATAGGAACATCCCAACACAGGGTGATATAATGACAGCAGGGACTTCCCTTACCAGAGACCTTCCCGTCTCTTCCCCACCCGCCGCCTGCTGTGGCCCAGAACCATTCTGTCCTCTCCAGAGCACACCACGGCCTCCTTCCTCTCCAACAGATGAAGCTATTTGCAGACCCCAACAGAGCCATGTGCTTGCTCAGAGACCAAACAGCAGAACAGATGTGCAAGCTTGCCCTCACCACTGGATGGACCAGGATCACTGGCTGGAAGCTACAGGTGGATGTGAAGGCAGGCTGGCCCCCCAGGACCCAGAGGAAGGGAAGAGAAGGACAGAAGCCCTTGTGTGGGAGGGAGGGAGGGAGGGACACTGGGGTTCAATAGCAGGAGATCCAGGCCCCCCAAATGGCCTGAGTCCCAGAATCTTTATCCCACACCTACCTGGCTTTCACTTTTCAGCCCAGCTGTGATCAAGTACTGTTCACCCGTGAACAACTCAAGGATTAGGGGTGCCCATCCCCCACACAGTTGAAAATCCACAGATCACTTCTGATTCTCCAAAAACTTAACCACTCAGAGCCTACTATTGATCCGTAGCCCTACCAGTAACACATAGTTGATTAACACATATTTGGCATGTTATATGTATTATATGCTGTACTCTTACAATAAAGTATGCTAGAGAAAATGTTATTAAGAAAAGTGTCAGGAACAGAAAATACATTTACAGTACTGCACTGTATTTATTGATAAAAAAAAGTCCATGTGCAAGTCACCCATCCAGTTCAAACCCACGCTGTTCAAGGGTCAGCTGTACTTGCATGAACAAAGCAGCTGATCAGCAGCAGAGCTGGAATCTAGTTCCTATGTTATCTCTTATTAACGTTAGTTAGTTTAAATTTAACAGTGAAAAGTGCTACACATATAGTCTTTTCATCTAAAGAAAACAAAATGCATATAATTTACATGAACTAATCACTTAAACCAGAGGAAAAGACCTAAGTTTCTGCTGAGATAAAGGTGTCTCAAAATACTTTTAAAAACAGTATAAATGATGTTTCGGAGCTGGTTCTTACATTTTAAGTGCTCACCATCTAAAGCTTCTGAGTGGTAAAAACAAGAGAATGTAAACTTGGTCCACTGGTGCATTTCTGCTACTCTTATCAGCACTTATTAACACCAAGAGAAGAAACACAAAACAAATGCTCCGTCTAAAAGAAAATCAATTTTCAAAAATCCCACCTCCACATCAACCCTGAAATGCTGAATTCTAGATAGAGGCAGGGATTCCAGTGTGGGGGTGGGGACGGGGCATAACAGAAGGAGGAAGGGGCTTTGTCCTTCTGGTTTGTTTTGAGTCGAGTCATTTAATTTGATTTAGAAATAACATTAAAGAAAGACCTGCGATCTTTATGTTGACTGAATGGGGACTGGGAATAAAGAGAGTTAAGAAACACCACGTTAAAGAAATTTCTATCCTTAACAAAAGATGACAAAACGCCCTGAGAAGTAACTTGAGGCCCCTTCAAGGAGCACAGCAAGGCCTGGCCTTTCTTAAGATCAGTAACAAGAACCCTGAATTGAAGGAGTAAGTCATGCTGGGCACATCAGAGCTACCTTGCAAGGTTTCTCATTCATTGTTAAAACTTTGATGTGCTCTCCAAGATGAGCAAAGAGGGGGTAAAAAAAGAGATCTGGAGGAAAATCAGTCACTGGGAAGGTCATTGTGTACAATCAGATGAACTGAAAAGAACAAAACAATTTGAAGAAAAGCTAGGTATGGCCAAATGCTGTTTCCCACTCACACGGAAGTCCCCTTACTACAAATAACAGAGAGCTGCTTGGCCCATGGACTCCTCTCCTCATAGGCCCCCTCTTCCAGGATGCCCACTACTGCATTCCAAGAGCCCACCCTGGCCCAACTTTGGCAAGAGTCTATGAGCGCACAGATCAGCTGATGGCTTAGGAACCCACAGGGGACTTGAAAGTCATGCATGTGAGTAGGTACCTTAAGAGGATAGCTTAGAATGTGGAAAGCCAAGAGAGAACGTCACTCCCACCACGATGAGGAAAAGCCAAACTATAAATTCAAGTTTTCTTCTCTTCATCAGAGAACTGTGGTCACAAAGCAACCAAGGGAGCTGAATTCCAAAGGGTGACAGGCCCTTTCAAGGCCAGACAAGACATAGAAACTGCTTCATGTTTGACAGAGCATGGGAGGGAGAGGCTACCAGGGAAGCACATAAGAAGTCAGCTAAGATTTTAAGGAATTCGTACAGGCCAAGTGTGGGCTAGTATATCATGTAGAGTAACGGGGAGCCCCAGATGCAGGCAGAGTTTGCATGTATTTGTAGGTCTTCTTCATGGGTGCTTCTGCAAAAAATTGGGAGCAGAACA